TGATTTTCCGATGGACAAACCCTCAAAACTCCCCTGAGGGGACCCCCGGGGGCCCCCCGGGGGCCCCCCGGGGGGCCCCCCGGGGGGCGCCCGGGGGGCCCCCCAGGGTCACTTCCGCGCAGTTTTGAGCGTTTGCGCAACAGAAGATGACCGGCTCTTCTTTTCGGGAGGCGCTGATCATGTGGTCAAGGCCTGGGACCCGCGAGCTTCCAACAGCAGGTGCATGCGCTTTGCATGCGTTTTTGGGGCTTTCTGCAAAAGTTCTTTGGAATGAGTTTCGGGCTTTTCTCCAGCTGGCCTTGCATTGGCTCTTTTATGGTCTCATACATATATATATACATATATATATTACATATACATATGTATATGCATATATATATGTATATATATATACATATATATATATATATATATATATATATATATATATACACGCCTACATATTAGTGTTATGTGCATGCGTATATGAATATGTAGTAATGTATTTACGCATCTACATTTATGTATACACAAAACATTTATACACACATATATATAATAATATATCAATTACTATATATACAGTAATATACATGCAGTACTTATATAGTAGTATCTGTATAATACAGTGTAAGTACAGTATATATATATGCATATAATGTACACAATGTGTATATACACACAAGCACATGGGCGCAGCTTGCTGGCCTAAATGGGCCTTTAAGTGCCGTCTAAAATTGTTAATTAAAGTTCCAAATACTCAAAGAGATATATATGAGTTTATCTGGTGCTGCTGCTGCTGTTGCTGCTGCTGCTGCTGCTACTGCTGCTGCTGCTGCTGCTGCTGCTGCTGCAGGTGCGCGTTCGAGCTGCGGGGCCACCGGGGCCCGGTGACCGGGTTGAGCCTGAACGGGGGCCCCCTGGGGGCCCCCGACGAAGACAGTCCTTTGCTGAGCTGCAGCGAAGACAAAAGCATCAAAAGTTGGAATCTGAATTGCCGATTAGTTTCCAACCAGTTTTATGGCCACACTGCAGCAGTCAACTGTATAGACACCATGCAGCCCAACAAGCCCCTCACTGGCGGCAGCGACGGCACCCTCAGGGCCTGGAAGGTACGCCGAGGCAAACCAGCAGCAGCAGCAGCAGCAGCAG